CAAATACTGTCAGTCTGGGCTTACTTCGTCGCTATACAAACTGCCACACCATATATCAAATAGCTCTATATTTTTTAAAAGTTTTCAAGGGACGAGATGAATATGAATCCAGCTTAACTTAGTACCATATGTTTACATGGATGTTGTATTGTGTTTAAAACGTGCTATGCACTTTTCTACCCATTACATTTTGCACAATAGGCTGAGGCCCTGTACAGAAATAAAATTACATAATACAAAATTGACTAATACTAAAATGAATAATTGTAGACAGATTTCGACATGAAATCGTGTCACTTTTATGTGCGCTAACTTCTGCGAAGAGCGAAAAAACTCGTAAGTAGCTTCTACCTTAAAATACTTAGACTATAATGCTAAGATAAGTACAGTCTTGTCTTTTTTGTGTACAACATTTTGCCGGAGTGGATCAATGGTGTGGATATTTTTGTCTGTAGGTGGGGAATGGCTCAGGACCCTTCTCTAAAATGGTAAAATAGTCCAACGATGTTATGTGAAATATCTTACCAATGTAACGCAAAGTAAACCAATTGAATTTAGAATCGATAATATAAAAATGTATGTAACAGAGCTCAAAAACATATTAAAAAATTCACACATTTCACATCAAATATATAATTTTTGTTTTCGAACCCCCTATTCAAAAGAGCTGGCTATGGGCCTATAAGAAATATTGGATGTATTTTAGCTGATATTTATACCCACTGAAAACGCATGACATTGATCTGCTGAAAGCAGATTCGGCACAGGCCTGGGACCTCAGCAGAGTGGGTGGAAATAGCGAGAGCTCTGTCAAATGTCTGTGAACTAACTACTAATTCAGTTTCCGGACGTGAAATGACATAACAAATTTTATTGGATAGATGGTTGCCAAATGAGAGATGGATTGACATGGTTCTGTTTCAGTTATGTTCTCGGTGTGGACGCTTGTACTTAATCGTTTTCCCGACACCCGAGAACGTAACGCAAACGAAATTAGAACAACACGTTACGTTCCCGTTACGTACGCAAATCTTAAACTCTCTTATGTGTGTTTGTGAATTGAGAAAGGATACTTTGTCCGAAACGTCTAGTTATATTGAATAATAACCAAGGACTACATTTTTCTACTATCAATTTAGTCTATTGTATTATTCAGGTTTGTCATCTTTCTCGAATTTTAAAATTTATTACAGCCCAAGTGCTTGATTTTCACTGATTTGTCCTGGTTTTTCCGCAATTCTAGTGATGACACACTCCCTTCAAATAGTTACAACGATTACCAAACTATATAATGCATAAGGTGTTCAGGTTACGTTTACGTCATGAACACGCCAATCGGGGGTTGGGAGGTTGGGGGTTATTATCAACTTTCCAGCACTTGCACCAATCATGGCGCTTATAATTTGACAAAGAATTCTGCTTATGAAAGTTACCTACATTATTAATTGATGGTGACTGTTTGAGTCATTACGTGTTTTTGAGTATACGCTAATCTCCCTAAAAACAAAAACGACAAATGAGTCGCAAGCGCCGTTTTTACTAATGATCGAATCTTCGCACCCCAAGTACACGTATATGTCATTTGATTATGCATGTGTTAAATCATTGACATTACACGTATGACGTCACACTACCCACAATTCCTATGCTATAAAACATATTATTTTAATAGAATATAACGAAATACGATACAAGACACTCTCATTAAAATCGGATTCAGGTATAGGCTTCATTTAAAAACACATACATGTATTTCAATTTTGTTTTGGTCGGAGCTATCGTCAACTGGTCTGGACAACTTGTTGACCCGGGAGGGGGGGGGTGTCCTGACTTGTCTGCTTGAAGATAAAGTATGTGCGTTCTGAAAGTATTTTGGCAGTAAGATCTCGTAGTTTCCGCATTAACCAATCACATGCAATGCACATATGCCTTCGAACAGAACGTGAAAGCTTATCTTAGATTCCCTGGTTTAACGTTTGCTTAGTTCAAAAATAAAATCATCTTATTAAAAATAAAAGGGTTAAATTTTTATCCCAAAATCGGTGGAAATGGGTTGTTATTATTGTGTAAAACATTAAGATGTTCTACCTTTATCAGCCAATGCCCCGGGCCAGTTGGATACAATACTATTAATATCTGAATATGGATTTCGCTAACGTAAACTAATTATACTGCTATACTGCTATGGCATCGAGTCAATTACACAATTTGTTTACGTGTGTTGTAACTTGCTTTTACAGTGTATTACATTCAGTGTTTTTTAATGTTGTGTATTCTAATAGTTTAGAGCGTGAATAACTGAAGAATAATCACGAGTATAGATTTGTTCGCCAAACCAAGCTATGTAATTTAAATGATCATCATTTATCTGGCTGAGAGAAAATTATAAAACAAATTTGTCGGAAAATAACTGGGCTTGATAACAATTTAGAATTCTGACTGAGAATTAGCCAGCTAATGAGATTGGTTTAATTTCAACCAATTGACAAGCTCGTTAAATCATAATGACCAATCAGTTCGTTTCTTTTTTCGCCAATCATGTACGAGGCGCCATATTCATTGTAACCAGTCATGTACAAGGCCAATATTTACGAAACGTCTCATCAGGAGTTCGATCAATAAGGTCATCTGTTGAAGCTCATACGTGGTCTCATTCCTGAACTTGAACCTACTCTTTTTAACAATTTCCACAATATTACAGAAATGTCATAAACACGTGAGCAGTGCACACACATGTTTGTATTGTGAATAACAATTAAAATACAGACATGAAAATATACAAAACAAATCAATACAAACATGGCATGAACTATTATTCTTTTTAATTACTAACAATGTTTGTGTAAACAAACATAAATAACATGTAAAGACAGACAATTGAAGAGCCACACTGGTGGTACATCATGCAATACTAAACAGTCTGTCGCATCTCCCAATCTTTGCATGTCGATTGGTCCATCTCTCTATAGTAATTATTTGACACAGCCACACTTTGCAAATACATGTATTCGAAAAATCACAAATTAAAAACTTATAATTGGTATAAAATATGCTGTTTTTGTTAAAACAAAAAATATATTAAAAGTAGATAATCTGACATGACCTTTCTACACATTTCATTTTAACGGAGGTTCTAACATATGATGACATTAAAGGACTCGGACATACTAGTATCTAGAGTTTATAAATATAACTTAGTTTAGAAATTTGTTTTTAATTTATCATTAACATATGGTGGTGTATATTGGTCGGGAATTGTCGGGTACCTCATAGATTTTCACTCTGAATGGAAGTTTAAACTAAAAAATACATACTTCACATTAAATTTAATTGATCAAGAATCTTCTTTGATTTTTGGCTTGAATCTATATTATATAAATCGTATGATCATTAAATTATATTAATTAATTATATTAATTAATTAATTATATTAATTAATTAACAAGTTCAATGCAATTACTAATCACTAATCAGTAAACCTAGTGATGACAGTTCACACATCTTTGTTTTTGTTTTGATTGAATAGCGCGGCAGGAAGAAGTGTCTTCGGTGCCAATTTCAATAAAAACCGATCCCCAATCTTGGTAGGAAGACAATTACCGATAAACAACATAAACCACTTGCCAGTACCAATGGTATAGCGTGGTTTGGGCTGCGTACTTAATAACGCGTCGTATATAGAATCTATAACAGGGGATATGTCTTCCGGTAAATACTTTTTGGGCATTTTGGAAAGGCTCATTAAAGAGTCTTGAAAACTCTTCATGTACGCTTCACCGTAATCTTTCTTCACTGTTGGTGTCATATTTTCCTTTACTGACTTGTACATCGACTCCAAAGCTTTCTCCGAAAACAATGCTGTAAAATAACAGACATATCATCACGTTTTAAAACACCTGTAATGTTCTATATATTAAACTATGTAATCAATGAATTATTTATTATGCGCACCAAGCTGCGAACGAGGAGGATGAAAATATGGCGGATATGATGAAAGGCTCGGACACAAACACCACGTGAGCAGGATATGGTAGTTTAAGTTTATCATAAAAGACTTAGGTTATAAGTGTTTTATTTGGGCGTCAATATAACCTGGTGAAAAGTTGTTGGACGAACTATTTAATGTAGTCGATAAACAATACCTACTCGTTTTAAAACCGGCTGGTTCAATAATGGAAACGTTGACGCCCCATTTAACCATTTCTTGACGAAGCCCATCGGAGAACAGTTCTACCCCTGCCTTCGACGCAGCATATACGGTATGTAAACCAACACATACTCTACCTAATGTAGAAATAAAGACAGTATATATATAATTAAATCATTTAGAAAACCTTTGGATCGAGACAAGACCTGCGCTAAAGGAGATAAAACGCAACATTTTGATTCAGTTTTCAAGACTAAAGCAACACCATTGGTGTAGTTTTCAAGACGAAAGCAACACCATTGGTGTATTTTTCAAGACAAAAGCAACACGACTGGTGTAGTTTTCAAGACGAAAGCAGACAATTTTGGTGTAGTTTTCAAGACGAAAGCAACACCATTGGTGTATTTTTCAAGACGAAAGCAACACGACTGGTGTAGTTTTCAAGACGAAAGCAGACAATTTTGGTGTAGTTTTCAAGACGAAAGCAACACCATTGATGTATTTTTCAAGACGAAAGCAACACGACTGGTGTAGTTTTCAAGACGAAAGCAGACACGATTGGGGTAGTTTTCAAGACGAAAGTAACACCATTGGTGTAGTTTTCAAGACGAAAGCAACACGGTTGGTGTAGTTTTCAAAACGAAAGCAACACGATTGGTGAAGTTTTCAAAACGAAAGAAACACGATTGGTATAGTTTTCAACACGTAAGAAACCAGATTGGTGAAAGAAAAAAACTACCCGATTCTATTGTTGTAGTTTTCAAAACGAAAGCAGCCAGATTGGCGTAGTTTTCCGAAAATAGCATCAAGGTTGATAAATCTAGTTTCACCTCATAGTTTAAATTACCATGACCAAGATGACTGTGACCGAAGGCGAGGTGATATCATATTGACGCGTTACCATACCTGCTATACTAGCAACATTGACGATACGGCCTTTACTGTTTCGTATCAAAGGCAAAAATGCCTTGGTAACACGCATAGGTCCCAGACAGTTAATCTCCATCGTTTGTTCCATAACTGAGGTGGGCGTTAATTCGAACTCTGACGTGTGTAATATCCCGGCATTGTTTACCAACCCCCATAACTCTGAAAACAGTAGAGAACAAAATTATTAACCTTGGAGAAAAAAAAACAGCATCACAATAGAAGGATGTTCTCACGTCTTGGAAATATTTACAGTATGTAGCCTTCAAGACAGTGGACAGTTACAATCGAACACAAATCTGGAGTTATCATTTTCTTTAGGTAGGAGCCTACTCATAATGTTTGAGTAAGTTAATGAATGATTTCATAACAACGTTCATTGCGTTATTATTTACAAGTATAGAATTATTTCCCATGGTAACAGTAAACATCTTCATTAACGTTTTATAGTCTCTCATTTTCAGAAATTTTGCAAAATATTATAATTCAAAAATCACTATTTCTAGAGCAGTTTCTAGGCCCATCATTAATAGGTCAGCAGACAACAATTTGAAAATATGCCCCCCCCCCCAGTAGTGGAAACGCTCTCTAGCGTAGACATGGCCGCGAATCACGAACATATATTACCATCATTTTCTTGAAAAATAAGTAGGTTACCCGCAACGTTATATTTGCAGAGGATACAATTTTGTGGGCTCAATTTCATAAAATTTTGATTGAAAAGACATGCTATTGAATTAAATTAACATCTCGTTTCGTTTTTCATCAATGCGTGTGCCCATAGAAACATTCCAGTAAACAGCTTCTTTTCACTGGCAGACCATTGTACAATTTACGCGTTCACTAGAATATTAACTCATTACCACAATGTCAATTCTACGATGGAACAAATCAGTCACGTGTCTCAGTCGAATTTACCCCACCAATAATTAATCATACGACGTAAAAACCTTGTAGACTAGTGGAATTTTAGTTAAAACCTGTCAATCAGTTGGGAAATGGAAGAAACATAGTGAAGACTGCTGGGTCAACTTTTATCAGTGCCAACATATTGAAACTGGTTCCGCACCAGAACATGTGTAATTAGCTACACGTTCTTTAGTACTATCAGTAGCCAGT